AAGTGCACTAGTACTTTTGAGCTGTGCCTCTTTGGTGCTTTTTCCTGCTTTACGATTGACTACACATTCACTTGCAAATGTGCGAAGAGGATGTCTGCGGATTGGTTTTTCAAAACGTTCTGCACTTTTGAGACATTCTTTGACAAAGATTTCATGCCTATTCTTGCCGTCTTCTGGAATCTTCAACAGTGATGTACTCGTGGCACCGGTTACACTCTTTCCAGTGCTGATGTTAATGAGAGGCAAGCTTGTGTCAAGTGAGAACAGATTGGCACACGGCTCAATCTGACTGATGATCTTCTGGAGATCCTCATTGTCTTTTTTGATTCTGGACTGAGGTCAGTTTGATTTTTTGTGTGCCCCATTCCAACTGCGGTAAGAGCTTCATTGACAAGTGCTGCTCGGCCTGCTCTTTGTAACACTCCACCGTACTCTTGAACTGTAGTTGTTCGTAGATGAGGTGTATCCTGTCATCCGGGAGGCAGCATCAACATTGATAGTTTGCTCCAGGGTCAGATCCACTGGAATTCGCGCAAACTCAATCTGCATCCATCTTCACAATGCTAAGCCCCAACTACCATACTATTTGACTGCTATGCCTCTTCCACAGGTTGCCAATAAAGGAAATGGCAAGACTACTGTTGTATTACAAACTACAATATTGACTAATTAAAGCACAGGACTACATGTACACAATAGCCTATCTAAACGGCTTCGTTCGAAACTATGCCATGTACCCTGCATCAATACTGTAAATGTACCATTGAAGTAACGCGCTACCTTGGGGGATGGGTTATCTAGGTCTATGGTACGCCCAAAACTCATGAAATCATGCACAAATTTCGAATTATTTGAGAAGGAATGATGTGCATACAACATGCATTGTCTCTGTTTCAATGATTCACATAAGAGGCTTCCCCAACCGGGAATCCCCAGGACGTAGGTTTATAATCCACTTATCTAGCATCTACATGTTAAAGAGGAAGTTTCTTACCAGCAAGCCTCAAGGAAAGCATGCCAAGTTGTGGATTTCATGTCATGTGTGCCTGAACCTTAATTGCATTAAGTAATCTATGATGTGTTTTTTCTAAAATTGTGAACAAACCGTAAACTGAGTGTTAAATCAGTTAGCATCTTATCTAAAAACCCCAAGGAAAAACATGTCTTAAGTTGTGGATATGATGTCTGGGGTAACTAAATTATGTTTTGCAAAAAGAATTTTTGTTGCACTCAAAATTTTAATTAAATCGTTAATTAGTCGTTAATTAGTAGGCGTCTTAATTAGTAACCCCAAGCAATTATGCGTCTTAAATTACATTTTTGTCCATTTGTTACTGTTCTATCCATAACAGCCATCAAAATTGTTGCACTACCTCTTTTGTAGAAGTCTATTTTTAAGGGTTCTCATAACCCTCAGCGCCAAACCACCCCATCTTATCTACAAACCCCAGGAAAAATCATGTCTTAAGTTGTGCTTATAATGTCTGGGGTCACTAAGTTATGTTTTGCAAAAAGAATTTTTGTTGCACTCGAAAGTTTAATTAAATCATTAATTCGCCGTTAATTAGTCTGTGTCTTAATTAATAATGCCAGGCATTTTCACGTCTTAAGTTGCGCCCCTTTATTTTGAGGGGTATTCTAAATGCAACCAACTTGAAACGGATGTTGCACTCGAAATTTTAATTGAATGGGTTTTTGGGTCACACTTTTGGGACCCTTAGGGACCAAACCCCAGGATTGCGCAACTTAAGATGCCCCGTTCCTTCATTTGTAGACAAAGTACAATAGAACTGCACACTCAAACCTTTTGCACTCAATACTTTAAATAAATGTCAGCTATCTCTCCAACTAATATTTAAATGCTGAAAATGGCAAAATACGCTAATTTAATTTGTTAAAAAAGAATTTGGAGCATTTTAAGATTTACTCATGCGTACACGCACGTCATGACGCACACGCGCATCTTAATATCACTGTTGTCTCCTGATATGAAATATATCTGTATCAACTTTCAATGACAAATGGCTGTTGGTGAAGGAGTAATTATCATTCATAGCATTTATCATATATAAAAATTCAGTTTTTGAATTCAGATGGCAATATGGTGACGTCACAATATCCGATCAGCTATTATGCTATATAAAATCATATCTACAACTCATGTGCTTTTAGAATATGTAATAAAAATTGGGGGTCACCTTTCACGTTATGATGCGCACACAGGAAATTAAGGTACGTAACACTTAAGCATGACCTGAAGTTTATGCCCACTAAATATCATTCAGAAATCACAGCTGGTTAAGGTGATTATTGGGTCATTAAATGTTAGAGGAAAGAAAGATGAGGGGGTCATCAAAAACCTTTATTTTGACCATGATGACATCATCAAAATGTAAAAAGAGTCACTTAATGAAAGAGAATTGCCTCAGCTATAACATATTCAAAGTTGGAAGACGATCGACCAAGAATAAGCAAGATACACTCAAATGCTCATTTTTTAAAATGATGTCATCGATAAAATTCAGTTTGTTGAATTCAGATGGCAATATGATGACGTCACAATGTCCGATCAGCCATTATGAGCTAGAAAATCATATTTACAACTCATGTGCTTTCAGAATATGTAATAAAAATTGGGGGTCACCTTTCATCCTAAAGAGCTGTAACTGTTTAAAATTAGGCCTGATTTTAGCAAAATTTCACTGTATATCGGCACAAATGCGCACAAAGTTCACTATGTTTGATGCGTGCGTATGGCATTGTTATTGGCCATAAGGTGATTGAAAAGATCGGAAACTTGTAAAAACAATGTCAGGAACCCAAAATGTAACAAAAAAACTTAATTTCTAGCTTCTGTACATGCTGCGCGCATAAAAATGCGCACGCGTAGTGGTAAATTTAAAAAAAATTGAAATGCTCAAAATGGTGTGTAACGTACTATAATTTAGTCAAAAAGTGATTTCGAGCATTTTGAAATTTTGATGCACGTTTTGAGGAAAGAAAGATGTGGGGGGGTCAGAAAAAACAATTTTTTGACCATGATGACATCATCAAAATGGAAAAAGAAGTCATAAATATGAAAGAGAATTGTCTCAGCTATAACATACTCAAAGTTGGATGACGATCAATCAAGAATAAGCGAGATACGCTCAAATGCGTATTTTCACAAATGACGTCATAGCTAAAATTCACTTTCTTTGAATTCAGATGGCAAAAAATGCTAAAGATTTAAGAGAGTTTTAAAAATATTGTGTCAAACCTGACCAGTTTTTGAAACCGCAGATTTTATTATTTCAAATTTGAAATTGTTTAAAAGTAGTATTTAGTTCCTAATTTTTACAGTTGGTAGGTTTTTACTTTTCCATGTTTGTTTTCCCTTTCTTTTATCATATCAGTAGTTTAAGTACACGGCCTCTTGGAAGACCGACCTTTGTAAAAAGATTGAAATGAGTATCCGTGGATAAATAAAGTTATTATTATTATTAATATGATGACGTCACAATGTCCAATCAGCCAATATGATCTATAAAATCATATTTACAACTATGTTCTTCCAGAATATAAAATAAAAATTGGGGGTCACCTTTCATCCTAAGGAGCTATAACTGATTAAATATAGGCTTGATTTTAGCATATTTTCACTGTATATCAACACAAATCTGCGCAGAGATACCTATGTTTTATGCGCACGTACGACATTGCTATTGGCCCTAAGGTAAAAAGAATGGAAACTTGTGAAAACAATGTCAGGAACCCAAACTATGTGAAAAAACGTAATGTCTAGCTTCTGTACGGGCTGCACACGTAAAAATGCGCGCACGTAGTGGAAAATTTCAAGAAACTTTGAAATGCTTAAAATGGCCTGTAACGTGCTCTTATTTAGTCAAAAAGTAATTTCGAGCATTTTCAAATTTTGTTGCAAACGTACGCGCGCGGTGTGAAGCACACGCGTACAATTAGGGTACATTACATTTAATATTGACCTGAAGTTTATGCTCACTTAATACGATTTTGAAATGGCAATTGGCTAGCCTGATATGATCGATAATGTAAAAACGCAAAATTGCGCATAGATGACGTCACGCATGACTGAGCACGTTGAAAAGCTTACCGTGACTATTCCAGACCAAGCAAAATGTTTATTAAAGTGCGATTGTGCGTAGCTCATGGCAATCTTTGAGATATCGTGCGAACAGAAATGGAAGGAAAGGTAGAATGAAAAAAAAAAAAAAAAAGTTGATCTCTGACAATAAGAGGTGATCCCCTCGAGAAGCAGATCACCAAAAATACATCTACAGTATATAATTATTTCCTTCCCGACATATTTTACAGTATTTCTCCCCAACGAGGAGGGGGTTCGGTGGCCGCCGCCCACCCCTGCTTTTCTTCATCATTTAAAAATGTGACAAATAGTCCTTTATTTTATATATTTATTTTCCAGTATTTTTTTAGTATCCTCCTGGCCTACAGTACCATATGGATAATTGCGTTTTGCTGAGAATATCTCTTGAAGTTTCGAAATGCATTATTATCTTTAATCGTCAAGATAATACTGTATTTTCTAATTTGTATCCTGAAGTGGTTTAGAGCAATTTTGATTGAAACTATCATATCATCTGATTGTCAGATATGTCTGAACCATACCTGAATGACACAAATAATAAGTGATCAATAATGTACTGTACATAACTTACACGAGAAATAGGTCCTCTTTATGACTTCAATGAGCCAGGCCAGAGCTTTGGATTGCAATAAATGCGAGATGTAGTGTAGTGGTGGACATGGTGTGGTTTTGATTTATATCCATTCGATCCCTACTTCTCTTGGTACCCTGTATAATGCACAATATCATAATAACGTAACATTACACTCACTTACTGGTATACACTAATGTTAAAGATGCTGTGACATTAATATCCTGTTAACTGTAGGTCTTAATTAGTGGTTGGCAATTTACCGAACTACAAATCGTTTATGTAAATGGCAATAATGAATAGGCCTGTGCATGCGTTGTAATAATAAACCTAAACAGATATTTTTTTCCTATTTAGTTTTTCTTTTCCTTTCCCCGCAGGGGTGACACCAAGGGTCTAAACTCCCGACAAGGGGTCAACCTCTCCCCCACCCCCAGGATGGGGAAGCTTAGCCCCATCACACCTGGTCGGAGAAAAAATTAAATATGTCGGGGAATTGTGTGTTAATTATAGAATTACAGGCCTACATGAAATAAAGGTGGGATGCTCCTAGACAAGACGAAACAAAAAAAAAGAGGTTGCATGTATTTCATGATATCACGGTTTAATCGCTTGTACATATGAAATTCATATGGAAACATGTGAACGTAAGGAGGCGTAATTTTATTTAAACCCCAAACCCCCCCCCCAAAATGTAAATGTATGAAAAAACATAATGTATGTTCCTAATTCATGATGGAGAGAACGTACGTTCATAAGAAATTAGTACAGACGTTGGTACTTAAGGGGCGGATTTTATGTATAAAAAACAAAAAAAAATGTAATTGTAAATAAATGATATTCATAATTTTCATGATAGAGTGAGCGAAGATTGTGGATGTTGAGCACCATGAATACATGATGGATTGCTGGCCGCTATTGGGCTTTCCGTACACATGTGTGGCATGGCTTTGAAAAAATAAATATAATTGTAAACTAGATTTGAACTCATCACTGAGGACGAGTTTGGTGATCCGCCGTACTTTGACCCTCACGAAGCATGTGCGGTGCTGATTGAAAAGTATTATATGCTAACACATGCTCTATTTAGTTTTTAAAAAGAGTAATTTTGAGCATTTTAAGGACTTACGAATGAGTACACATACGTCTTAATGTCCGTGCGCATGGTAATGATATTAATACAGTGTCACAAACCCAAAACATGTAACCGAAACGTAATTTCCAGCTTCAGTATGTGCTGTGGGCGTGGAAATGAGCGTACGGAGCGTAAATTATGGAAAGTTTTGGAATACTAAAAATGACCTGAAACATGCTTTAAATTATCTGAAAAGCGATATAAACAATTTTAAAATTTTAACACACAAGTACGAATACCTTATACGACGTACTCGAGGACGGTAATGGCACATGAATTTAAACCTTGTCAAGTTTAACTTAAAACCCCCTGTTGGTTGGTAATGCCACATGAATTTTTCCTTTACAGTATATGAACTATATAATTATCGGTCTGATAGCGTCAAAATAGTCTGCCGCCCTCTATTTTAAAATTGCTTAAACGTCTTTTAAGAAAGAAAGATGAGAAGGCTCCAAAAAAGCATTCTTTTTTACCATGACGTCATCAAAATGAAAAACCAGAGCCTTGCAGGCGTCAACGTTCCTATGCATGATACATGACTTAAAAAGTATATAGGCCCTATATATACACATGTATATATATATATATACGAATATATATGTACATATATATATATATATATATACACGTATATATACGTATACAGGTATATATATATATGTACACAAGTGTGTACATATATACACATGTATATATATTATACGTATATATATACATGTATAT